AAAGGCTTTGACTCTCAAGGCCAAGGCCAAGGCCAAGGCTTTGACCCTCAAGGCCAAGGCTTTGACCATCAAGCCTCGAGGCCAAGGCCAAGGCTTAACCCTCAAGGCCAAGGCCCTGTTTTATGAAATGACCACAGATATAGAACTAATTATAGTCACTTGAGTGACACATCAAAAAAAATTTGTTCCCCCCCCCAAAAAAAGTGGGTCAAAAAATGACGGCTCAGTGGGCCCCCCCTGGATCCGCCCTTATCATCACGAATTGCTCGTTACGAAGAACAACATTTCTTTAATTGCAATCAACATGCTCGCATAGGCCTACACCGTTTTATGACTGCGCTGTATCTATTAAAGTATAAGTTCAGGTCTTCAATATGGTTTAACTAAACAAAATAATGATTTACTTCTATATTGACACACGATTCTCCCAAGTGTAACAAAAGGGGGATCCAAGAAACTGATTTGGGAATTTTTTATTTGCTGGCCCAACATGGTCAGAAATATCAGCATTATCTAAAACAGATACATGCAAATCTTTAGCACTTATCAGGGAGACATATACAAACAATCAGATCTATTCCATAGTTATATGCAATTAAAGTGATCATCTCATTAGCCCCACAAGTGTACAGAATATTTTTGCAGCAAATCTACTACAATGGTAACAAAATGTGATGCTACAAAAGTGGAAGTGTGCCCAACACACAAATCTACAGGGTGCTTCCCTCCTCCATGGTAATACAATTAAAATAGTAACAGCAAAATTTCGAACAGATTTATCTGGAAAATGCAAAAATCTATGGGCCTTGAAGAGCCTTGACTCAAAATTGCAAGGCCCTCAACCCTCAAGGCCAAGGCCAAGGCCAAGGCTTTTGCCCTCAAGCCTCGAGGCCAAGGCCAAGGCCCTAAAATCCAGCCTTAAGGCAGCCTTAAGGCCAAGGCCCAGCATCAAGGCACTACATCACTGCTGGTTAGACTGGAATCCTGCTGCTGCACAATTTTAACGTGTTTTTAGATGGGGTTATGATCGAGAATAAGCTTTATGTGGCCTCTCTGGACTCCCATATATTTGCACTAAGTTTAGTCCGGCATTATTTGCAGTCATCAGTCGACATTTGAAGCAAAAAAGTCAGGTAAAAAAAAAAAAAAATCCGCGTCGCCGCACCACTTTTTGGACAAGCTCCATACCAGAAACCGGAGACTTTTTTTTGGCCTAAGGTAAGTTGGGGAAAATTGTGCACAAGTATATAGGAAATAATATAATGCCATCAAAATGTAATATTTTCCGGTTACATTATTAGTACTCATGTCAGGTGTTGAAGAATAGCATTTCCAGCAGCCTTAGGCACTGGATCTAGGCGAAAGCCTCAAGTAACATGTAGAGCTGAGGAGACAGTGAGAAGAAATGACAGGTGCATGGGAGAAAAACCCCCAGAGGAATATTTTAGGGGATCGGGAAGGGAATGAAAACCATTCCACATAAAAGATGCAGGAACAGAGCCCTGGACACAACGGTGGGAGGCGAAGAAAGTACCGCTTCGCCAATCTGACTTTGCAGATGAGCCAGTGAGATCTACTGTCATGACACAATCCCAGTGTTGCGCTGCGAATTCAAAGTCATGGCAAATTTACCGTTGAGGACTTTCATAAAATGGCTGTTTTGCAGACAAAGTCCTGTGTCTAGAGCAAATATTGATTTTCAATGTGTCGAATACAGAATGCAGTACTTGTATTCACGTGAACACTGAGCATTGTTTTTCGTGTCGTTCTCAGTGTACGATATACACGATAAGTGCGTTTTGTAGCCCAATTGGCTGTTCCAGGACCTAGTGTCCCTTTAAATGATCAAGCTGATACATAGTCAGCGGCGGCGGAACGGGTTTGAAACTGGGGGGGGGGGGGGGGGGGGGGGGGGGGCATCACCAAAAAGGGGCACTTGCTCAGCATCTTGGCTGAAAGGTCGACACGTTTTTTTCACCGGACACTTGGCCTCCGAAATATCAAATAGTGGTGGGGGGAAGGGGGGGGGGGGGGGAGGGGGGGGGTAAAACCTTCCAACATAGGGGGCGCTCTTCAAAACCGATGATTATATGATATCTATGCATTATGTGCTCATTTTCAGGGCGTATTGTATGGTTTTGGGGGCATATCATTAGTGGGAAATTGTAAATTTTAAGAAATAGTAAGATAATTTAAGATTTTTCTATTATCTCGATGGGGCAATTTTATGTTCGAGGGGCACATTTATGGCAGCAAAAGGGGCACTTCTGAAAATGCCCCCCCCCCCCCAGCACCCCCGGTTCCGCCGCCCCTGTACAGAGTACTGAAAGGATCTGGGCGCATAAGCAAGTGTGGCCGCAGGAAACGGACTAAACTTGAAGGATTCTTGTAGTAAATAAACATGTACATATTTAACCCTGAAATACGACTTGAATATTGTGATAAAAACGGGGCTCTCTAAATTCAAAGTCAAACGTGGAACAATTTCTCCGAAAATTTGCTCATTTTTACTATACAAAAAAAACCCAGGCCAACAAAAGTGTTGCTGGAAAGACGCCGCGCCGGAAAAAAGACCTCAAAATTAAAACGTCTGTCAAATTAATAAATGATAATAACCTTGGCACTATTTTAATATTTTTCTGTGTCCGTTGGGGTGATGTTCTATTTCGGAATGTCATCAGCTGGTCTCGCATACAAAGAGAACAAAATGTTATTAACAAGAACTGCCATAATAGACTAGGCAATATTTCAAAAATGTTACATGAAGAGGCATTTTCGAGTACAAGTTATTAACAAAACTATTTTACCTAATTTCAGGGTGCTGAATCCGAAAATGATGGTTACCAAGCTGATCTTTTAGTGGAGATATGCCTAATTTGCATAAATACTTGCCGTGTAATATATTTGTTCCCATATTTGGGTATATTTTTAATTATTTTATTTTTGGAAAAGCTTATATTGATAATTCTACTTTTATATTTGACTGCAATACGAACCTGCCAATTTTTATACGAGTTGCGATGATCATGAAGGCAACTCATTTTTTTAGAATATTGATTATAGCAAAAATATCATCCTTTCCCTTATTTATAGTATGAAAATGTTTCCTATACCTATTAGATTAACCTGCATGGGAGGATCCAGGGGGAGGGCAAACAACAGAACCCATGTTTGTTAACCCTAAAAGGGCCGGGGGCCGAACCCACCCACCCCCCATCCCTCGACATTTTCCGCGATAGCCTTTAAAAATTTTCGCGAACTAAGCTTTTATGACTTTTAGCCTTGAACTTTACGCATCTGTTGACACCAAAAACTTAAAAATCGGACCGCCCCCCCCCCCGGCTTAGAGATGGTCAAAATAACCCGGCCCTTTTAGGGTGAAGTGACGTCGCAATGAAGGCAGGCACTGCAAACACCCATGTGGTATATACATGTATTATGACTGTCAGAGGCAAAACATGACGTCATCACCACAGGTAGCATAATTGTCTGCAGGTGTATTTAACATGGGACAGTGTTTCCAAGACATTGTTGTGATGTTAACATTGGAATTTATTTACAATTGTCATTGACTCATTTCATTGATATAGAATTACTATTTCACAAATGCATGAATATACAATCATTCTGAATTAATACCACTAACTATGTGCCATTACAAATTCAAACAAATACCTAACAGAAGCAAGCCACAAAACCAAGACATGTAAACAAACCCTGTCCGCCATTTTGAATGTATGTCCCATATTACCCACACCTTGTTGAACTATGAGCTCTCATTCAATGCATAATAATGACCTCATTAAACAATTATAGACCCATACACGTTCAATGGACTTCATAAGCATCCTAAACATCTTCTTTTTTTCACAATTGTATAATCTATGAAATATATTATACAAATATTGAATGCTTCGAGTGGTGTAGTAAAACTAGCCTCCCGAGGTGATCCATCCATGGACATTCTATTTTCCCGAGGCGAAGCCGAGGGAAAATAGAATGGTCCATGGATCACCGAGGGAGGCTAGTTTTACTTCACCACGAGATAAAGCATTCAATATTTGTTTTATAACTCTTCACTAACAGATTCTGCTTGATTTTAATATTTTACATGATTTAAATCTGAACACAGTTGAAATAAACTTCAATTTCAATACAAAATTGGTGGAAAATGTACTTCTCTCTTAAAAACTAACCCTTCACGAAATGTTTGAACCCAAGTCTGCGGCGCGCTCTCTTTGGAACAATACGCGCTACGCACAACGAGCAACTCGCACACCAGCATGCATTTGCACAAAAATACCGCGCCGTGGAAATAGTACTTTGGTTGCTAATGGTATAGTACTTTGGTTGCTATGCGCATAGTACTTTTGGCCGTGCACAGAAAGATAGCAAAATTAGAAAGTAACATGTGACTCGCTCTCGGCCAATCAAGACACATAATCTGTGGGTGAGGTGTTATAAAGGTTAATATCAGAGCAAACATTAACTGTTAACTTCATACACTTTGTCAGTTTTTAATGATTTTTCCACTGAAATGTCCTCTCGTTAAAGGGAATATACATCATTTGCTTTTGCTGTAATTTTCAGAAATGGATGGAATTGGGGGGTTGGAAATATAAAGCAAATATAGTTACACTGACTTTTTAGAGGTTTTTGGTTCGAAAATGCTATAAAAACCAAGAAAAACGATCATTTTCCTGTAGTCTGGTTCCCTGACTCCATATAAGAAGAATTAGAGCAGTTTACATACATTCGGGAATTGTAAGGTCAGGGAACCAGTCTAGCTGGCTCGTACCCGTTCATAGGTTTGTAATCGATTGCAAACAAGTGCAATGGTCCATTGGGGCCAGTATTTGAAAAAAAAAGCCAGTTGTTTCCAACGCTGATCGGCCGATCAGCGTTGGAAATTGATACAAAAATACCACTTTTCTTGAAAATGACAGTATACCAGGTGCCATAATTTTACAGGATGCTTTAGACTGTCATTTACCAACATCCTATTACGGTATTTCGCAAAAACTTGGTAGTTTTATTTTTCGATGTTTGCAAATGTTGTATATTCCCTTTAAATTGTCCTTTTTGTTCACCTCTGAGAGTGTTTGATCAACAAAGCATCGATTTTAATGCACGCGTCCCCATAATTGATACCTGCAGTCCCACATTACCTGCACGTTCCCTAGCCTGCGTGAAATTGTCTACAAAGGGACCTATTTAGTCACAATGTATTGCCAACTTACATAACACACCTGTGTTCCACAATACATGCGCAGAAAATATTTTATCTATTCATCATATTCCAATATCTTGGGAAACGGAAAATTTACAGTACAAACAAAAGAGCGACAACAGGGGGTCACCCATTGCAGGTAAATACACACTTCAGAGAGCGTGTACAACCCCTGCCTTGATTGTGGGGTACCGAAACAATGGAAGGTATGTCCCATGTTGGACAATAATCTTTGTGTAGGGAGACTTAAGAAGAGTTAAGACATTTGAGGTCAAAGGTCTAGGGCCAAGTGAGGTCAATGTTAATTTTGGCTAGATCAACTGAAAAGTGCTGCCATATGAAAAGTCAAACTTCACTCTCAATCAGACTTGGTGACAACAACGTTTGTGTCGGGGGACTTCAGGTGACTTCAGCCATTTGAGGTCAAATGTCATTGTGAGGGGTCAAATGAAATTATTGTTGATTTTTGTTAGGTAAACTGAAAGGTGTGCTTACTAACCGACTGTATACTGCTAACATGCCAGGGGTCGCAATACTTGCATTATTTTTGTTTGCCATACAACTGCACGCCTCGCACGAACACTTGGGTCGTGATGAGAAATCTGCTGGAACAACATTCTAGGAGTATTACAGTGACTTGTCGAAGGGAAACAACATAGAAAAACTGGGCTTTAAGAGACGAAAATGAAAAAAAAAAATCTGCCTGTCCTCAAGTAAAACAAATGTTCCCATCCTGTTTACTCTGTCATGCCTGGAGTTCAGGGTGTCATGGTGTACTGTGAAGTAAACAATTGGATACAGGTGTTTTGAGGAGATTATAGTCGGTTGGGGAAAGTTGTAATGCAAGTTTGTTAATTGGTCAGCTGTCACCACTGAATTACCAGTAGTGATGGATACTGAGTTTGTTTTCTTTATGGTCAAAAAGGATCATTCTGATTTCGTCAAGCCAGATGATTTCGAAAGGACCAGCATCAAAGAGTCGCACCAATCCAGTTGGAGTGGCGTTGAAGACGACTCCTTTCCAATCTTCCCTACCCATTCTTGTCTCCACGAATAGATTGAAGAGGCGCTTGCTTCCGTTTCCTTTCACGTCACCGTCATTATACTCCAGTTGCGCATCATTTACGAATTCTCCAAGCAGATTGTAAGTTTTAACAGAACTTCGCACATCTAAGACATTAATCTTTATCTCTAGTAGTATCAAATTATTGATGATCTCTGTATAATACTCCCCAATGTAAGGAGTGGGTAGGCCTACGTGTAGATCTATCACCTTTTGACAATCGCCCGTCTCCTGGCTCCAAATACTAGTAACGCAGACATCGCCTTTCGTGCTGAAACCGAAAATAACATTATCGCCAAGTTGAACCTTTGTCTGTTTCCTTGGGCATTCTAGTTGATGCAAACACTCTCCGCTCCTCGCATCCCACACGTGAATGTGGTCATCATTGCAGACAGCCGCTAACATCTTGTCCCGGTAGTCCAGTTTACCGGTATAATAAACGCAGACGTCGTCCGTATGGTCCACAGTTATGATGCGTTGAAGTAGGCCGTCTTCCACACACCACACGCAAATGTCCGTGGACATCGTGCGTTCCGTATCGGAAGTGTGCACACAGGTTAAGACCAGTTCACCATCAAAGAACAGTGAAACAGTGTTATGGCCCCAGTTACCCTCTATCGTTTGCAGAGTCTGCCCGGTCCTTGCATCAAATGCATCGACCCTCCCATTATCACAAGGCACCACAATTACGCCATCTGTGAACTTGATTGCATACAAATTGCACGCTGAGTTGATAACACACTGAAGGGTCTGGTTCCGAATGTCATAGACATGGATTGTTTGGTTAAAGTTATACATTGCTAGTAGATCCCCATCGACAGAATGGGTGCGAAGATCAGTACGGGGTTTGTCTTGCAAATCGAAATGACATTCCTTGAAATGAGAGCAATTTGTAGCCCAGTTTCTATCCAGATGGTGAGCTCTCATGTAGACGCCTTTCCACCTGCAAGTGCTGGTTAAACCCGCTGTGTTGTCATCAGTCACGATCCTATCATTCTGGAAGGTGGCGCTGTCGTCCCCTGCTTGCTCGGAAGGTCCGTAGGAAGGTATCTTGGCCAGGTCGGTGGTGGTGCCATAGTGTTTCCATCCTTTACTTTGACAAAGAGGGAGCCAGAGTGAATCCTGATTGGTTGCATCGCGTAGCCAACGGCAACATGATGCCACGTGACACAGATCAGTCGCACTCAGATGTTGCAAAACCGTCTGTATTAAATCATCGGGGACAGCATAGATTAGAGATCCACTCGATGCAGCGGTGGTTGATTCATACATACCATTTCCGGGAATTCCAGAGACTGCCATAACCAAATATATCTGTAAATAAATATAACAAAACAAACAAAACAATATTAAAGATTTTTTTTTTATAACAACGACATGAACTGATCTCGGGTTTATCCCCAAACATCAATTTGAAACATCCATTGGGTCTAAAGAGTAGTTCATGTAAGTAAGATTTGAGGCTTTGCATGGTGAAGATACTAAATAATGAAAGGTTTGCGGAAACACCATGTGTGTTTCCGCACACATGGTGTTTCCGCAAACCTTTCATTATTTAGTAGTTCATGTACTTGTGATATGATACATTGTATGTCTTATTTCTTCAACGCCCAGTACGGAATTCATGCATATGTAGATGTAGCAACCAGGACATAAATCTTAAGTTTCACACAAATGAGCTGACATCAAACAGTCCTGAACAAGTTGTCGCGCCCTGAACAATACTTGTAGCGGAGCCCCATAGAAGAATCACCAATGGCCCTGTTGACTACTACTATCAACTAAGTACAAAAATGTACATCAAAATTCAGCCATTACCAGAAAACCGCTGCATAGTTTGCCCCTGAACTCCGTATTGGACTTATCCACATACTCACGTTTATGCACCAACAATCACGGGTGGATTTGGTCCCAATCCTGCAAAAAAAATGAGGAAAAAATCCGCGTTCCGTACTGAGTAACATTGAGAAGTTACACGTTCATGGAAAGATATCGCTGGCGCTTGACGTGTGCACGTGCGCGCACGGGTAGCATCAGACAGGCAAAACACAGTTAGCCCGGTTCCCTGACCCCATTGTCCTTCTGACTTGAACAATGGGGAAGCAGTCTAAGTCAAAGTGTGCTCTGACGGGGCGCCTTTCGAAGCGACCAATCAGGGTGCACTGTGATTGGCCCATCTGATGCTAGCCATGCGCGCGCACACATACATGTTCAAGTCAATCGCAAGCAAACTTTCTATGAACGTGTAATTTCTCCAGTTGCTCAGTACGGAACGCGGATTTTTTTTCATCATTTTTTGCAAATCGGGACCGAATCCACCCGGAATTCGGTCCTGATCTTTGTTTTTAAGTTATAGTGGCAGCTGTCAATCATCAAAGCTAACAAACAAACAAAAAATAATAGGGGTAGACTCGAGTCACAAACATCAGTGACTCATTACAACTCTGCACAGGTGTATGGCTGTGTACAGAATCATGCAATGATTACATGTAGGTCTACTGGTTTTTGATATGGCGCACGAAGAAATGCAGTACTTTTTATTCACTTGTACCTGAACACTGCGAGTTTAAGTTGTACAATGGAATAGGCATACATGTTTACCATACCACTGCATGAGTACAATACATGTAGGTTTCACTGGTTAAACTGGACGCTACGTGTTTTTATTCTGCCCGAAAGCCGTCCGACTTTTGCCCGAAATTACAGGATAACTATAGGCCTAGCCTCTGAATGTACGGAATTCAATGTTCGTTTCTTTTTTGCTAATAAGCAGTCATGGTGGATTAGGTTATAATAAAGTGACAAAATATTTCCAATATTAATTTGATTTACTGCTCCCCTATAGCAATGGTCCTTTCAGCATGTGTGGCTGTAAAATACGGAGGAAGTCCAGTATTTCAGCCACATTATATGGGGCTAGATAATGATGAAAATAGTGACTACTAACCAAAAGTGTACATCCTGGACAAGGACCGACTCAGATTGGGACCTGGGATGCTCTGAAACGTGCAAAACTAAATCAGGCCAACTTTACTCACTCTTTAGCCAGCAAATGCCTCCATATATGCCATTTAGCCCCTCCCCTCCTAAAAAGGCCTCAGCATTTCACCAACCAAGTTTGCAGACTCAATTCAATTTTTAAGGAAGACATTTTTCAATATTTGGCACATTAGAGGGAGGTCAAATGATTTAAAAATGAGGCTACAGACAATACTTGTACATGTTCAACCATGGTCCAAATATAGAAGGGAAAAAAAGACTGAACTCTTCATTTAGAGTCATTAGTCTGGTGGCTGTCTATGGAGAAATGTGTAGTAAATAGAGACAAGTTCCCAGTTCATGCTAGCCCCATAAATGTGGCCTATTTACTGGACTACCTCCGTAAAGTAAGGCCAAACGAGAATGTTGTCCACGACAACGCACCAGACGAAAATTGAACTCACTTGCGGCGCCTGAAAGTGGTGTGGTACCCTCATACATCGCGCGCGCAGATTTTTTTTCGATGTCATCACGTGATGCATGCATTTACATAATTAACCAAACAAAATGGACGACAGCCATTGGAACTGGAAGTTTTTTACGGACAAGCCACCGAAATCGTCGAGATTTTTACTTTTTTTCTTTTTTTTGGTGGTCTGTTTCAAGTCGATCATTAGCTTTGTGATTGACTGCTGAATGGTATGAGGTATGTAGTAGGAATCTGGGGTGGGATATTAGAGGTGAAAAAAAGACAATTTTTGATAGGTTATTATTATAGGGCCTCTTGCTACCACATTCTCACACCTAGGTTTAGCCCCATAATGTGGGCAGTTTACTGGACTGCCTCCGTAAACATAGGCCACACATCCCTGCATATCGCATATTGCGCAAGGGCATTGTTCAGTTGGACCATGGAGGTAGAATCCAAGTTGCCAAGAAGGCTCCAGAAATAATCGTAAATGACGCAGCAGCTGGGCAACTGACACTGGCAGCAGGTTCCAATTTTGTTATTAAAACCGGGTGAGTGTATTTTTAAAGCATAAATGAACTGGGTCTGAAGTCGCAATGTGGAAATCACTTTCAAAATTTCGCCGAGTCAGATTCCAAGATGGCGGATGTGTGGCCTATGTTTACGGAGGCAGTCCAGTAAACTGGCCACATTATGGGGCTAACCTAGGTTATGTCTCCAGCGCTACATGTGAATGAATATGAGCATGTCAGCTGGAGTACGTACTCAAGCTAGTGTAGTACAGGCAATTGGCCTACGTGTAGGCCAAGTCCGTTTGTTTTGTAACTTTCACAAACCAAATACTAGGACGAAGGTACAGAAAAATTATGACAACGAAGGACGAACACACTATACAACACAGGTTTGTACACAGTTTACGTGCTCATGCTAGTTCATTGCAGGTGGCGCAACGTGAATCCAAAATAACAGTTTCACACGATTAAAAACGCTAACTATAAATCTGTAAAATACCTCTCCAATGGCGGCGTAAACTACTACAGAATGTTAACTGCTCTGCAGTTCAGGAACAATCTCGCCTAATAACTCGATAACTAGAAGCGATGAAGGAACAGTAATTCTTGTGCGTTATGAAAACCCTGAACGCGTTAATTATAATAATAGGTGCGGCCTAGAGACACTTGCAAAACACTACAGTACATTATACACAGTGATGCTGGTACTAGTGCTGTTGTTACCAATCGTTGACCTCTGACACTCCGTGTGGTATGGCGCGCCACGAGGGCATAAATAACAGTACACACAAATTCCCACTAAATATTCTTGTGTCACCGCAAATGTCTTATAGCTCCTGCACGATACCAAATACTTCAAGGTTAAAATTTCGAGTTGAAAACCTTACTAAAACAAAAACATTGATGCACAAACAAGTGCTGAAAAGAACAACATTGGCGCATGCGCATTTAAATGTGACCGCTGTGCCAAGTAATGTTTGCTTTGAAGGGAATACTTTTCAGACGTTCGAGTTCACAGCGAGTCTTGAGTGAAAGCGCAATAACATACAACTGTTTCTTTGACGAAACAGTCTAGCTACGCCCGAATGTCATGCAAAGCGCACATTTTCCCCATAAAGGCCATTGCTAAATTAAACAATTTTCGTGAAATTCTACATAGCTTAAATATTCTAAAACATTGTTTTAAAAGGTTCCCAGATCCCATTGCTTAATGGCATGAACCACATGCTACAACCAGTGCGCGCACAGAGCTGTTCAGTGTCAATTCGCTCTACATTGTATATACCGACCACATCGTTTATACATTCTTGTTTAAAACTATGTACACTCGGAATGGAGGCGGAAAATTAGCCCAACTCAACTTTCACAAAATCTGTTGAACAATGTAGATTTCAATTCAGACCATGGTTAAAAACAAACATTGAAATTATTATCAGTACAAATCGTTCCAGCAAATATTCTACAATACAGAGGCTAGCAAAACCTCACGTTTAGGCCAAAAAAAAGTCTCCGGTTTCTGGTATGCGCGCGCGTCGCCGTAGCCATGCGCGTCGGCAAAATGAAAAAGTTTTTTTTTCAATGAAAGATGATGCCTCAAAACCGCCAAACTCACTGGTTTGACTGGAATTCTGCTGCTGCGCAATTTCAACGTGTTTTTAGATGGGGTTATGATCGAGAATAAGCTTTATGAGGCCTCTCTGGACTCCCATATATTTCCACTAAGTTTAGTCGGGCACCATTTGCAGTCACCAGCCGACATTTGAAGCAAAAAAGTCAGGTAAAAAAAAAAAAGTAAGGTAAAAAAAAAAAAAAAAAGCCGCGTCGCCGCACCACTTTTTGGACAAGCTCCATACCAGAAACCGGAGACTTTTTTTTTTGGCCTTAGTAGTCTTTTTTTTTTTTACAAGATCGTGACCGACTGGTCCAAAGTACCAAAGTTGGCATATAGATTTTTATAGATCTAAAGAAGATTTTTAGAAGGAGTGACACCTGAAATTCTTGTGGAAGGGGTGCCTATGTGCATAAATCGTACTAGCTGCCGCGTCATATATTTATTCTCATATTTTGGTCGGCCCAATATATTTTCTTAATTTCTTTGGGAGAAAAAGTATATTTTGGTGATTCTACTTACACATCTTTACTATAAAAACATAATGTGATGCATATAAGTGACTGGGTAAATATGATGACATCAAAACGATCCAAAATTGGCTGCAATTATACCCTCAAGTTGCACTCATTTATCGTTTCCCGAAATATTAAGTAGTTTTGCCAAACCTCAATATTGATCATCTTTGAATTCACAAAATTGCTAACTGGCACAGTTACCCTAATAAAACTATATGGAAAATCATGTGCACAAATGATAACATCAAAAAAGGGGGAAAACAAAAAAAAGGGGGAAAGGAGGTGTCCGTAAATTTGGCCAAAATTAGGCAAGGGGTTACCAAACGTCGATGGGGGACTTGAACAGGTTCAAATAAGTCCCCAAATTTACTTGTATAAAAATATTTTGACAATCTAAAAAAACATAATCTCAGTAGCTAAATGTTTACAATATGAAGAGGGGTCTGATAATTATAAACTTGCTAAAATTTCACTCCATCAGCACGATGCCAGTGCCGGCCGGACGAAGGTCGTGTGACGCGAAACAAAATTGATGAGACAGAATATGGGGCGAGCATGCTCACAGTGACTCTGAAGTATAGTCAGTCAACTCTTGTATATAAAAATGTAGAAAAGAGTTACGTATAACAGCATTCATGTGAATAGCGCGATTCATCTTTCGAAATGAGCTATAATTTCGTCACCGTTTTCACGAACAGCCACATACTATCTATATTATGTTGATTTTGAAGAAAATCTCATTTGACCTACTATTACGTATTTCCGTGCAATGGGTTTTGTACGCGTTCAAAAAACCAAAATGTTTGTGGCTCTTCGTGAAAACGCAAAATGCATTTATCGAGATGTTTGCCCCTTGCAACGTTAATGTAACTTAAAAATTAATGATGTTTTGCCTACAGAAACATGTCAAACTGGTTAAGTACATTGTTTTAATGTAAAATATTGAAAAAAAATCAAAATCGAAAAAAATGTCATTTTTAACATATGTGGCTCTTCGTGAAAACGGTGACGATTTGTGTACGAAAAAAAAAATTATGGAACTTACTTCACCTTTTTGCTAATGTAATTATTGCATAAAAAAAAAAAAAAGATTTGGCCCCGACGACAGGAATGCCTAAAAATGTGTTAAATTTAAGTACCCCAGCAGGTTCCGTATATCACCACTAGCACCAGACAATTCGTCATGATAGAAACGGAAATGTCCCTGTCTGGTCAAAATAATAAATGTTTGTAGGTGATAGCGGTTCGTCGTGATAACGCCCTCTCGCGGCGGCGGGTTATCGTCAATTTTACACAACAACGTTTTAGCCAAAGACAAAATACGACAATATCGTGCGTCGTGCGCAAATCGTCTGATTTAAATTTGGTATCCTCATCTTGCTAAAAGACATCGCTATAAGGAAATGTAGGCATTAAGGCAGAAAACTGCTGCGATCTTTTGGCCTATTTTCCACGTTGTTGGAAAAAAAAAACTTTCGAATTTGAAGTTAAATTGATAGGGGCCTATATATAGCTCGGCAAACGGAATGCGACTGGCCACAGTCAACGTACCGATAGTCGTGGCAGCGGCAGTAGACATTGAAGGTGCATCATCTCAATCAGACATGTTGGGAGATGTGTAGGAACTGATGACACCTGTAATTTGTATGAGGAAATTGAAGTGGAAACACTTATGAAAAGAAAAAAAAGGGTAACAGCAGATCAGTGGAGGTGCAGTGTGTGAAAAACCAAATACGGTTACGTAGTGACTACGCAATTTTCATTTACTTTCATTAGGGCAATTCAAATACGCCATTGCAAATCTATATCAATGATCCTTTTATGGGGCTAAATCAAACCCTACCTTTTATTGTTCTTTTTTTTCCTTAATGATCCGTGACCTTGGAGGACTTTTTGAAAGGGAAATAAAGTCCGAGAACCATTCGGTTCACAGTCTGATTCAAATACTGCCAAAGATCCTGGCGTTAAATATTGTTCTCATGTTGGGGAACCGTCGGTCCAACAGTAGGCAATAGCGAAACATAATTTTTTTTTTAACCTGCACCTTTTTTCAGGAAAAAGAAATAGTGAATATATAACCGTGGTGTACAGCTAGGGAACACATTTGTCGTTTTAAATAGTTCTTTAGCCCTAAAGGGGACGGGGCGGAATCCGCCCCCCCCCCCAAGGTTTTTTTTTCCGCAGCAGCTTTGAAAAAAATCGCAACCGGAGCTGTTCTGACTTTTTAGCCTCGAGACTTGCACATCTTTCGATACTAAAAACATAAAAATTTTCCGTGAAAACTGAATTTCCTCATTAACATAGTGTACACAGAGCAGAATTACTATTCATGCATATGAATAATTAATTAGCCATAATTCCAAAACCTTTGAACCTTTAGTCATAACATTTGCTCAGTATGTTCATGATAAGATGTTCTATGCATGTACTGAGTTTCAAAATTATTACGTCACTTGATGGCCAATATCTCGGGGGGGGGGGCGGAATCCCCCCCCCCCCCCATCCCCAGGCTGAGAGATGGTCAAAATAACCTGACCCTGTTCCGGGTTAATTATTGCTCTCAATATTAACAGTATAAACATGCTTAGAATCTAGGTAAAAGCCACGTGCCCTGTGACGTCATGCCGACAGGCAAACATATGGCAACCCAAACAGTTCAACATCTTTTGCATGTGTTGTGCGGGTGGCCCAAATAAAACAGTATAACTACGTCAACACTTTCAAATCATGCATGCAGTGCAGAAAGAAAACGTCCGCTGAAAATCGGCAGCACGTGACAAAAACATGGAATTGTGTAAACATACTTCACGTGTTCTATAATATTCGTGCTAAAGCCCATTGATGTCCAGGCGCTGATTTACAAATTTATTCAGTTACTGAGTCGAAATCGGCCCCGTAAATTTCACTACACGAGAAGATTCGTGGGTGACTGATTAAAACACTCTTTGCGTGTGAATTTGGCTACGATGGGCAGAAGTGCAAAGACACTACGCGAACTCTCACAGTTTATCCGAAAAATGATGTGATCGAATGAATTATACGGTAGCGCGACAGACCGCTGCCACCATTTAGCGAAATAACCCGAGTCCGTTTGGCCGAAATATACCGCCGACTTCCAATGTAGTAGCTCACCAATCAGATGGGGGAAGGGATACTTAAATAATAAACAAGGACAAAGGAATTATATTGGACACTGACAACTGGGTTTCATGTGCCGTATTAAAAAATGTAAGATTTATTCAATACTCAGTAGGCCTGTAATTAAGGGGTGTGCATATGTGAATTAATGTGCCTCTTATTTGCTATGTGGGAGCCTCCTGTGGGGGCTTATTGCGAACCACGCCTCCTATAACAAAGGGGTTGCATCCGCTTGTAACGAGCGCCTCTAATGCACCCGGCTCTCCTCTGTGCTCTGGCCACGACTGCTCATGCAGCCTCCAGTGAATCCTAGTTAGATCCAGTCAGCCTCCAGTAGCTCTGTGTGATCCCGGTCCCAGTGAAGGACCAGCGGTACCCAGATCGTGAGTCAGCCTCCTGATCCTGTCCCGATGGACATGCGTAGCCCAGATCCTGATATGCCTCCTGTAGCTCCTGTGAATCCTGTGAATCCTAGTTAGATCCAGTCAGCCTCCAGTAGCTCTGTGTGATCCCGATCCCAGTGAGGGACCAGCGGTACCCAGATCGTGAGTCAGCCTCCCGATCCTGTCCCGATGGGCTTGTGTAGCCCAGATCCTGAGTAAGCCTCCTGTAGCTCCTGTGAATCCCGGTTAGATCCAGTCAGCCTCCAGTAGCTCTGTGTGATCCCGATCCCAGTGAGGAACCAGCGGTACCCAGATCGTGAGTCAGCCTCCCGATCCTGTCCCGATGGGCTTGTGTAGCCCAGATCCTGAGTAAGCCTCCTGTAGCTCCTCCTCGCGCCGTGCACGACTGGAGTCCCACTTCCGCAGTTCAGCTAACCAGCTTTATATAACTGACATACAGATCCTAGTCATTTGATTGGTGGAACTCACATCACATGACATTCGTTATTGCTCCCATTCTCGCCGCAGCTCAAAAAGTACTATCCGCCCATGGGGAATGGGAAATACTATTCAACAGTTAGGATCATGACGCGGTATTTGTGTGCAAATGCATGCTGGTGTGCGCGTTCAGCGTTGCGCGTATTGTTCCGAAGAGAGGGCGCTACAGCGTTGGGTTCAAACATTTTCGTGAAGGGGTGGTTTGGACTAGAGAAATAGATTTTCCTCCAGTTTCGTATTGAAAAAGAGTTCAAATGTATCAAATGACAAGGATCTATATGTCAGTTATATAAAACAAATATTAAGTGGCTTTAAATTGTGAAATGGGAGGAATATTATCGCTCGGTAAAATCTGGACCTTTTCCAGTTCACTCGGCTTCGCCTCGTGAAATGGAAAAGTCCAGATTTTACCTTGCGATAATATTCCTCCCATTCCACGCTGAGCCACTCAATATTTGTATAATATACTCACCAAGTCAACTTGCCCGGCGAGTCCCACCAGAGAGAGAGAGAGCGTGCGCGCGCGATACGCTCGGCTTTTATAGCCGCGCCGCGGACGTGGCAGCGAGTCCTACATTGCGGACGTGGAAGAACCACGACTGTGCTGCGCGCCTAGCGTGCGGCGATAGCGCCCTCTTTTGACGCCTTTATACAGCGCAGAGTTGATTTCGCTACAATACTGATAGTCTACTCGATGATTCTCTGTCGGTTCCCTTTTTGGTGGTAGTAAAACAAGACGGATGAGCGAATGTTTCACTACACGATATGCTAAAATAAAAGCAGGGCCAATTTGATAGAGCTACTTAAGCACAAAATTTGCCTCAGCACAAAACAATTTTGCTTAATATAATCAGGTTACCCACCAAAACTCCAGGCGATTGTTATACCGGTCACAAGCAATGTACATCGCATGGAGTTTGAGCCAGTAACCTAATTATATTAAGCAAGCTTGTTTTATGCTTTATCACATTTTGGGCTGAAGCAGCTCTGTTAAATTGGCCAAAGCTGCTGGTTACAGAGACAACGCCTCCTACAAACACATGGTTGGTGGTGACAAATCGACAGAAAGGTGTTAATGTAGGCCTATGCAATTAAAAAATGACAAAGATAATGCAAAAAAAACAACCTGGAATCGAATTCAAGGAATATTAGAAATATTGGCGTGCCCTATGGAACGGAAATGGCAGATCTGGGCTTGAAGAGAAAAAAAGTGTTAAATAACCGTGTTTGTCCTCTAGTCAACATTTTCCCATCGCTGTTTACTCAGTTAGGCCTAAAGTTCAGGAAAGTTGTAACTTGACTTCGTGAATTGGTTACCTGTTACCACTAATATTTACCAGTAATTATGGATAATAATTCTGTGTTTGTCATCGTCATAGAGGATCATTCTGATTTCGTCCATCCACACGATCTTTGCAGAACCAACATCAAAGAGTCGTACCAAGCCATTTGGGGTGGCGTTGAAGATGACCCCTTTCCATGTTTCCCGACTCCCTTCCACCGGATCGTTTGGTAGGTGGAAGAGGAGTTTGCTTCCGTTTCCGTTCACTTTCACAAGGGTACGACGCATCTCTTCCGTTACTAATTCTCCACGCAGATTGAAAGCATAAGCAGAACGAGTGTGTCTATCACCATATTTGGTCCTACAATCTAGTATTATCAAATTATTCACGATCTCTTCATTATAAGCGTAGGGTTGGTCTACGTGTATCACCTTTTGGCACTCTCCCGTGTCTTGGCTCCAAATACTAATAACGCACATGTCGCCCTTCGTGCCGAAACCAACGATAACATTATCGCCGAGTTGAACTTTTGACATTTCCCCTGGACATGTTAGTTTATGCAAACACTGTCCGCTCCTCGCATCCCACACGCGAATGTAGTCATCATCGTAGACAGCCGCTACCATCTTGTCCCGATAGTCCACGCCGTAAAACTTGTTAACCCTGTCTGCCGGATCAAGAGTTAAGATGCATTGAGGTTTGCCGTCTTTGACAGACCACACGTAAATGTCCCGCAACCTCTCAACGTAGTTCCTTAAGTAATTATCATCCCTTGGGATAATGATGACCACCTCACCATCAAAAAACAGTAACATCTGCCCATAGACCCAGTTTCCTTTTATCTTTTGTAGTGTTTTACCTGTCCTTGCATCAAATGCATGGGCCCTTCCATCCCTAAAAGGCACCACAAGTACGCCATCTTTGAGCTTGATACTGTTCGCCGAATTCTCACACGGAATAACACACAGACGGGTCTGTTTCCGAATGTCATAGACACGGACTTCGCTGAAACCGTTGTGGATTGCTAGGAGATCACCATCGACAAAAAAATCGGGACGAGAATAGTAGTTGAATTTAATCTTACATTCATGAGAATGATTTGTAGCCCAGTTTCTATCCAAATGATAAGCTCTCATGTAGACGTCTTTCCACCTGCAAGTGCTGGTTAAACCCGCTGTGTTGTCATCAGTCACGATCCTATCATTCTGGAAGGTGACGCTGTAGTGACCTGATCTTGTAGCGCCAGTTGCTTGCTTGGAGGGTCCGTAGGAAGCTATCTTGGCCAAGTCCGTGGTGGTGCCGTAGTGCTCCCATCCTCTGCTTTGACAAAGAGGGCGCCAGAGAGAATCCTGATTGGCTAATATGCGTAGCCAACGGCAGCATGATGCCACGTGACACAGATCAGCAGCACTGAGATGCTGCAAGATTGTCGGTATTAAATCATTGGGGACAGCATAGATAGGGGACCCAGTCGACGCGTCGGCAGCGCACTGACCCTTGGTGTCACCTTCAGAACTACTGTCAGCGGACTTGACGAAACCTGTAAAAAAAAAACATTGTTTATTTTTAATTTTATTTTAGTGTAATCAAAATGAGCTGACGTTCTTCTTCGTCATGTGACACAGACTTATTGCGACAAAACGGAGATCAAAACGGCCTAGTAGTATTCACTTGTTTTCCTTATCCTCGGCCAATCTCATGTATTATGCTAAAGCAGAACGAATAAGCAAATTGTCTGGGTACACCAACCATTGATCAAGTTTAACAAATCTCCCATGCTTGGCAAAATTATATGTAAAGCTGCTGATGTCATCACCTTGGTTTATGTGAGGGACACCTAGCCGTTTTGGGATGGGTTATGTCGGTATCAGTAACTTTACATAATTATGAGTAAAGTTGCAAAATCCGCCACTAGGATTCTCCATTGTTTTTTAGTGCGATGTAATTGCATACTTATGGTCGTTATATGAAAGCAGCCACTAGTGAATTCCTAAATTGTACAAATCTCTATTTTTTTAACAGCTATGCCAATAAATAAATTGACTTACGTGGCACATTCCCCATGTTTTGCTGAGACAAATGTCCGTACAGATGTAGCTAACACGAAACAGTGCACAGGCGGGTCATCTGTTGCTGCATGCATAAACCAAGCCACTATGAGGAAATGAATTCCAAAATGGAACACGGAAATGAAGCAGTTTAACACTCACGTGTACGCGCACCCAATCACACTGCGAATCCAGCTGTATTTTATACACGTGAAAAGGCTTACACTGCATGGGTACATGGCTCGAGGTGAAAGGTTGAGTTGATAGCGAGTGTTGAACTGATCAGCCTGTGCGCATGCGCATTATCGCAGGCAGCTGTGTCTAGCTTCAATGATACTTGTATACATCTGCATGGCATGATCCAAACTCACTAGCCTGGTGGAAAACTTTGGAAAGATGTGTGGAAATGGAGACTGGTACCTGATGATCTCTTGAGACAGTTAACTTATGCAATGCAATCTGTGCTGCACTTGTTGCTACATGTACAGTTTATTTTTCCCCTTGTGTTGCATGAAATACCTTAGGTTCTGGGAGTCTCATACACAGTGATGAGAGTCCCACAGTTTCGGACAAGGGAATTAATTTGGTAAGATATCCGTGGTTGCCGTGGAAAGCTATAAAAGAAACGTGGTGTGCAAATTATTCGCTGAGACCAGACAGCATTTTAAAGTCTAGTGATCTACTGCAATGCTCTCAGATTGTGAAAGACTATTTTCAGCGTTGATTTTCATTATATTTAGCCCGGCGATCCTAATCAGCATATTACGTGACAAAATCAAAAGTAAACAAAAACAAAATAAGAATACCCGGGTCCTGAAAGGAATAATCTTAGCACTAATTTCTTTTGACCTACTAAATCATTCTAGAACGCTTTATGCTCACTCCCTTGAGAATTTTGCAATTTTGAATGATAAGCAATACACTAAGGCTGGGATTTCCCAAGCTAAATTCGCTTCAAAAACATCCAGTTGGGTCTCACGTTCCAGAAGGAAATGGGGCCCACACTCACACATCTTTCTTTATTTTTTGCTTATAACTACTTACACGTGTAATTCCAGTGTTTTTAATGATCATACACAAAGGTGACTATGTGCTGAAGCAGGAACTGCACGTGCGTGTTAACGGAATACAGCCACACCATAACGGGGATTTTCAACGGGGCGCACGCACACATGCAGTACTGTATTCACTTGTTGTCCATGGCACTGTGAGTTCAGGTGTAATGGGTACAATGGGAAAGACGGTCCCTGCATGCGAGTACAATATCTTTCGGGTTCAACGGCCAAGTTGAAAACACTGCCAAATAAACAGCATTGGTGCACAAGCGCTCAAAAGAACGCAGATCAATATTTCTTTTTTTCGAAACGTCTCTCTGAGAAAATGTGTGACCCGATGCCTGACCCGACCGCTGCATTTCACGAAATTGTGGCTTCGCGGCGCGGCTTGAGTTGTGCGTTCGTGTAGGTGCAGTGCGTGTGCTTCATCAGTAGCTCACACGCAGACAAACGTACTCGTACAAGACCTTGTGTCATACAATTGCATGGAAATGTAACTTTATAGTATCGCAATTTCATGAAAAATATATAATACCTTGTGTCACGCAGTATTTGGGTTCTCCATGAGCATCGCAGGCGGCTCTCTTATAGCCTCATCCGGGTTCTTTTTGAGCATCCAAGCCCACACTGCACTGGTTGCATAGGGAGCTCTTATATCATCACAGGAAGCTCTCTAAGAGCATCTCAAACAAAACAACACTGGTTCTAAGGGTTCTCTTCCAGCCTCCCACCTATATTGCAATGATTGCATAGGATTTCGTAAACTTCTCTTAGAGCATTCCGGAGTTTTCTCTCAGAGAATCTCATAGGTTTCTCCCGGAACATCCGAGCAAAATGGCAACTATATTGCTTTGGGGGTTCTCTCAGGGCTCTTCAGTCACTGATCTCTTAGAGCATTCCAGCCACAGAGTGCTCTGATTGAAATATAGCATCTATGGAATCAGTGCAGTGAGGGTTTGGTGCTCTAGGACAGCCCACTGGATGCTCTGCCATCCTATGTAATCAGCGGAATGTTGCTGGTATGCTCAGACAGAAACACCGGGGTTACACTCAAAGAACTCCTATGCAATCAATGCATTGTTTCTTTGGTTGCTTAAAGCGATCCCCCAACACTGATGCAATATTTCTGGGCAATAACATCGATTTGAAAAAAAAAAGTCATGATTGTCCGAAATGAGATGTGGTTAGTTTGTTGTGAATGATCACTAGTTATGGCAGGAAACAGGCGTTTCTTTTCTTGCGTGTGATCGAAAATCGTTCCGAATTAGTCAATCCATCATTTCAGCATCGCTCGTTTCGTGCATGATCATAAACAAAGAATTAGAAATCATCGCAGAGTTAGACATCATGGATAATCTCACACGAGGTAAAAGTATAGACTCGGCTCACCAGGCTGCCGTCTGCTTGCGATAATGTACACAAAGGTGGGGATAAATCAGTTTGCAGAATTTACATTGAAAACAAACTAAGCAAATATTCTTTCCAAACATACTCGTCAAGAATCATCCCGACGTATCATGTGCATGGGAGATCAGGTCTTTGCAACCGAAATATCCTTTTACTCCCAGACAACCAGATAGAATTAAAGGCCTGTGCAATGCAATCTTTGTGTCTCGTTTAGCTTTTTCATTTCGTTTTGCCTTTTTTAAGATTTTATTTTAATGTGGAATTCCATACTTATGAGCAAAAGGGTGATGTCATTTCAGGCAGAAACCTCTACATTATAATACCAAAAGTTACCAGGACGTTTGATATTTCGCCGTCGAAACTGTTCTTTTCTTTGGTGATTTGACATGGCAGTATACCAATAAGTTTTTCTCACCTAAATAGGGCAGTCAGTTGTTCGAAAATCTCCAATATTTAAAGAAGAGCACTTCTCATTTCATACGTTTAAGAGGAGTATCAAGTGACGCAAAATGTATTCAAACGACAAACAAATCATCCGATGGGCCCTTTAGTTTAATGCGTAGTTTAAAACCAGAGAAAAGAAAACAAATCAACAGAATTCTAGGAATACCAGATTGGCATGTCCAAAGCAATAGACATTGAAGCTCTGGGCTTTCAGAGAAGATAATAAAATTCTGTGTCCCGCGACAGATTTTTTTTCATTGTGTAAAAATGGTCACAGCCCCGATTCAACCTGGCTTCTGTGTCTTAGATGGATTATATATTATTGTCGTTATATATGTCATTTTTGTTTGGTGCGTGCGCCAGCAGGTCCCCCACATAAACAGAACGAAATATTATAAACTTGACATTTCATGATAACACCTGAAAAAATAACTGATCCTAAACTCCATTTACTTTCATCTTACTCACAAATCTCTAGCGTACACAGCGTGGTACGGTCCTATAATGTATTCAAAGATACCAGTTGAGAAAATGTGTGTGTGTGGGGGGACACCTCTTTGACTCAGTAACAAGTTATGTTATGACTCATGAACTTCAATATAATATAAACCAGCGGATTCGCATACGAGTTCAGATATCATAACTCATTATTTATGTATATACAGGGTGATTACAAAAAGCAGAACCCAAACCCCAACGAATACATTTTATTTAAAAAAAAAATATGTAGCATCAAAAACATTACAGACTTGAAGGCGAATTTCATAAACTGAAAAAAAATGCTTCAATTGCAGGCTCAAGTCGTTCAAAGTATCACACCATTTAAACACAATGACCCTAAAACATCTTTCGTCTAAAAAAGAGATTTCAAGAATCGTCGTCACAATTGTCTTCAAACATTACCAGCAATAAATCTTCAATTTGAAAGTTGAAAAATATCCACCGAAGTCCTTCTGAAGGCCTGTCTTTAAAATAAGTAGATTTCATATATCATATTGTTTGCCGTAAGCACGGTTGTTAGTAAATATAGTGTGTACTACAGTTGTTGTCAGTTGTTGAAACAAGTACTCTGTGTCATTTTCTTAGCTGTTCCGAACAGTCTGAACACACAATCAATTCCTTTTTGTTTTGAACACCCAGGTTAAAGGGGCATTGCGTTTAAATTGTTATATTTTTCGAGCGGATTAAGCAATGTCAGTATTGTTTACATCAAGAACTAGCATATTAAATTGGCCTTCTAGTCATTATTATTTTTGGTGCTACATTTTGTTTTAATATAAAATATATTTGTGGGGGTTTGGGTTCCGCTTCTTTAGACTCACGCAGTACTCATAATTTATAAAAATTACTTGAACATGTAGTAACGAATCACCTGGTCTCTATTAATGCAAATGTAAAAATTAATAGACTGACATTCGTCACATTAAGTAATAGTTTGAATACCCATGAAATTAACGTGTACAGTTGATTACAAGAACTAGTTAATTAGCAAAACTAACTACTGAAAAGGCTTTACCTTAATTAATATAACGTTTAATATTCACGCGTGGTTACAAGTCCACGTATATGAGTCATTGCATGTTACAGAGTTGTATGACTGTACAATTAACACACTCATTTCAAATCATTCTTCAATTGCGCTCAATATTTACAGTTACGCTTAATAATTATGAAAAGAACGTATCAAGCAGAATACTATGTGCCCTGTGTGTGCCGACAGGCATACACAGGGCAACCCAAATAGTTTAGCATATTGTGTATGCTATTTGGCCCAAATTAAACAGTACTATCATGTCAACACTTTCAAACCCTTCATATTTCAAGAAATATACAAACAGTGCAGAAAAGAACCATTTGCTGGAAGTTGGCATCACGTGACCACTTCATGCAATCTTGTAAGCATCTTTGAATGTCACGTGGTCTAAAATATTCATTTGCATTTGAACTGCTACAACCTGTTGATGTACAGGTTCAATATTTACAAATTCCGCTACCGGTATTCAATTTATTTTGTTTTTGTTTAATGTTCAAAACGGAGAAAAAGATATTAGGGTGACTTCATAAAACACTATCTTGCTGGAATTTGGCTACGAAGTGGGCAGAGTCACATAATTAAAACGATAACTCTAAAAGTATAATACAAAACTGACTAGTGTGATCCACAGATGTATTATACTTTGAAAACTAATCTCAGTTTCTTTTCGTTGTGGTAGCAAAAGATGGCTTATGGCGAATGTTCAACTACACGATGTGCTAAAATAA